TTTAGTGTGCCAACTGCCTTTAAAAAAACATTCGACAGAGCTTTGCTTGAATCTTGAAAAAAATGAATGTTTTCTTCGGAAGAAGTGTCATTAAGAGCTGGAGAAATTGAGGGCCAACTCTTTCAGCACTCTTGTGTGGCAGAGAGTTCGTCTTCGTGTTGGATCTGGATGAATTAATGCAATGCTTTTCAGGGTGCGCCTGGACCGCAAGGACCTCCTGGTGCGCAGGGAATTCGAGGTTTTCCAGGACCTGAAGGATTAGCTGGACCAAAAGGACAAAAAGGCGCGCAGGGACCACCCGGGCCAGGCGGTCCGAAAGGTGACCGGGGACCGATTGGTGTGCCTGGATTTCCTGGCAACGATGGTGCCAACGGACGACCGGGTGAGCCCGGTCCACCTGGTGCGCCAGGGTGGGATGGTTGTAATGGAACGGATGGTGCACCTGGAATCCCCGGACGGCCAGGACCACCTGGAATGCCTGGATTTCCTGGACCTCCTGGATCGGACGGTGCAAAAGGAGAACCTGCCATCGGATATGACGGTGCCCCAGGAGAAAAGGTTTGCTTTGTCTCTGAACACTGTACACTGTAGCTGCATATGAAAGATGTTAAGGGAGATGGAGGTATGCCTGGTATGCCAGGATTACCGGGACCGCCGGGCAGAGACGGATACCCTGGAGAAAAAGGAGATAGAGGAGATGTCGGATCAGCTGTGAGTGTTCTTCTATTTTGCCAATGAGAAAACGAAATTCCTTCCATTTCACAATTGTTTGCAGGGACCACGTGGCCCACCTGGAGAAGCTGGAGTTCCAGGTAATCCGGGAATCGGCAGCATCGGACCTAAAGGAGATCCAGTAAGATTCGGTCTAATATGGCGTATTCATCGAAGCGCTTGACGTATCCTCTCTTATAGAGTACACTAGAAAGCATGATGGCTTCAAGAATAGCTCTAGAATATGTTCACAAAAACTTTGGAAGCAAAGTATCAGAAGATCTTGAGAATTTCTTACAATGAAACCCTGAAATAATTTCAGATTACTCGAAAAGTGCTTTGGTTTGAATGATTCTGTTTTGGAGCTTCTGAAGTGGTAGGAAAGTCTCTTCTTCCTAGAAATTATCACCCCCATATACAGTCCTCATCATTGCGGACCGGTGGGGCGTGTCAGCCAGTATGAGTGTGCACACTGTTGAAGCCGTTCTCAGCCTTTTTGTTGAAACGCGTATGCGACAAAAAGTGGTAGAAAACGAGTAATACGAAGGATATAATACAGTAATGTCACTTGCCCGCTTCAACAACTGGTGCAGAACGACTTTGGCACCGCGCCAAACGCAGCCGCACTGACACGCCCCACCGGTCCGCAATGATGAGGACTGTATATATTCGCTTCGTTTGTTTGTTTGTTTGTTTGTTTGTTTGTCACCCCATATATATAATTCGCTTCGTCTGTTTGTTTGTTTGTTTGTTTGTTTGTTTGTAAGTTTGTTTGTCTGTCCGGAAATTCGGTTCGACCTGAAGAACGACTTGGAGAGGTCGGGTCAAGGTGGGGATGGGTAGGGCATGGGACAAGAAATAAAAAGCACACTTGACCTATGGGAAGCCCCGCCCACAGTGGGCGGGGCACTCGCCGAAAGTTTGGGGTTCCGCAGAAAAATGTTCATAATTCGCTTCCGGAGCAGCTTAAAGATGGGGAAAAAGGGAATAAGGTTAGTAAGGAGTCGCCAGACTAACTGTGGCAGACACATCCAAAATGGGCGGGGCGTACTCAAGGTGGGCGGTGCTTCTCGCAAAATTCAGTAACCCGGTTCGCGAGAGTGTTTGGAAGTCGCAAAAAACTCAGTGTAGAATGTAAATATCTGGCGAATATAGGGCACGCTCAAAGTGTGTTGAGACCCGCCCACAGTGGGCGGAGCTTGCCCTAAATCGCAGGGTATTCATTTTAAAAGTTTGTAGCTCGGTTCCAGAACACTCCAGACACCGGATTGAGGATTGTGGGGCAAAACATTGTGGGCGGAGCCTGCTCCGAGGTGGGCGGAGCCAGAAAAAAGTCTGTAAAACGGTTCCAGAGCACTCCGAAGACCGGAATAAAGTGAATTCAGGTCAGCAAGGGGTCGCCGATTGAGAAATGTGGGGTATACATATTGTGGGCGGGGCCAGCCCGAGGTGGGCGGAGCCAGACGAAAATTCTCTAAAACTGTCCCAGAGCACTTCAAAGACCGGAAAAAACGTGGATTAAGGTCAGCAGAGGGTCGCCGGTGAGGATTGTGGGGCAAAAACATTGTGGGCGGAGCCTGCTCCGAGGTGGGCGGAGCCAGACAAAAAGGTCTGTAAAACGGTTCCAGAGCACTCCGAAGACCGGAAAAAGTGGATTAAGGTCAGCAGAGGGTCGCCGGTGAGGATTGTGGGGCACAAACATTGTGGGCGGGGCCTGCTCCGAGGTGGGCGGAGTCAGACGAAGAATCTGTAAAATAGCTCAAGAGTACTTCAGACACCGGAAAAAAGTGGAGTACAGAACAAAAGGCGGATATCAGTTGAGTCTAGAAATATGTGAAAGAAAATACGCGCGGCGAAGCCGCGCCCGCCCGGCGCAGCCGGGCCGTATCAGAAGGAGGCGCGCCGGCGTTAGCCGGCGAGCCGACTGGTTCCTTATAGGGGTTTCGAACATAATCTCTCACGATATTGCAGAGATTCCGGTTAAGTTCTTCAATAATTTTGATGTAACCCTCGTTTAACTTTGACGATTGAAAGCGGTACTCTCTTTCTAGGGTGACATAGGACATCAGGGACCGCCTGGCCCTCCAGGGCCTCGCGAGTTCACAGGCAGTGCTTCGATTGTAGGTCCACGAGGAAACGTCGGAGAGAAAGGATTCAAGGTATTTATATGAATTTGTTTAGGGTGACGTGGGTGCTCAAGGTCCGCGTGGGCCTCCCGGGCCCATCGCGTCCACTATGGCGAAGGGAACGATAGTTGGTCCTAAGGGGGATATAGGAGAAAAAGGAGAAAAGGCAAGCAGCCTGAACTAATTTTAGCTAACTGTGTTCGCCTCCTTTTGCTTTGCTTGATGCATGCCTCGTTTATGCTTTTTTACCTTACACCATCATTTTTTGTTTGTATGGACAGCCTCTGTTGGCATGTTTCCTCTTGTATGAGAGCTCATGCAATGAATGCTTGTTTTAGGGCGAACCCGGTGAGGCTGGACCTCGTGGCTACCCCGGAAATGCGGGTTTACCTGGACAACCTGGTATGCCTGGAACGAAAGGAGAAAAAGGACTGTCCGGACCGGCTGGACCAAGGGTAGGCTCTTGCGATTAATCTTCATGCAACAACCAGAATTCTTTCAGAGTTTCAAAACCAACCATTTAGGGAAAAGAAGGACGACCGGGAAATCCGGGTCCACCTGGATTCAAAGGAGATCGCGGTCTTGACGGAGTGCCTGGCTTCCCTGGTATGCCTGGACAAAAGGGTGAAGCTGGATATTCAGGCAGAGATGGACCAAAAGGGAACGCCGGACCACCTGGTCCCCCCGGTGTACGTTTTGTAATAAATAGCTTCCGCAATATGTGACGGTAAAGCCACGGAGCGTGTGCGCGGCTACTGCAAATACCAAATACGCGTGGTCTTGAAGATCGGCGCGCTCGCGATGGTCTGTCATCGCGGCAGTGACGCTTCGCTGCCATTTTTTCCAACAGTACAGTCCGTCGTATCTCTGCAAAACGATAATAGGTACAGTCCCTGGGAGTATGCTGTCCAGGAAGCATTGTGACAGGATCAGGACATAAGCTAAATTAGCTCGCGAGCAGAATCCGTGCAGTTTCCTCTCCGCTGTAATTGCTATATAGTCACTCTAGTTATCCAAATGAAGCAGGGTCTAACGATCATGACATCAAGGTCCTACCAGTGAAAAGCATTGCTGAAAATTGAAGCTAACACAGTATAACGCAATGAGTTCATCGCGAGCGTGCTCTCCAGCGCATGCCCGCATGTCATGAGTTTGCAGATTGCCCACACACACGACGTCGCGTGGTCTTGAAGACAGTTTACGTGGGACTAATGCTGTTCTTTTTAACACTAGGAATTTTTTTCAGGGAGGCTCGTACACTGATGGTCCTCCGGGGCCACCTGGTTTACCCGGCCGCCCCGGAAATCCTGGTCCACCTGGTACCGACGGCTTCCCTGGGCAGCCTGGACCTGCCGGGCCACCCGGGCAACCTGGTGGGCCTGGAGCTCCCGGGTTACCTGGGCTTGAAGGTGTTGCTGGTCCGAAAGGAGAGAAAGGGGAGAGCGGAATTCCTGGTGCACCTGGTGTTACCGGCCCGCCGGGACAGTTCGGTAATCCTGGGCCTAAAGGAGAGCCTGGCGCACGTGGAATCCCCGGACAGAGCATTCCAGGTTTACCTGGTAACGACGGTCGACAGGGCCTTGATGGCGCACCTGGTCGAAAAGGAGAACAAGGTCTCCCTGGAGTTCGAGGTTGGTGAATTGGTGTAACGTCCTGGTTGAAGTTCTTTCTTTTTGATATTCCGGTCTTCGAAGCGCTCTGGAACCGCTTTACAGACTTTTTTCTGGCTCCACCCACCTCGGAGCATTCTCCGCCCACAATGTTCTTGCCCCACAATCCTCAATCCGGTGTCTGGAGTGTTCTGGAACCGAGCTACAAACTTTTAAAATGAATACCCTGCGATTTAGGGCAAGCTCCGCCCACTGTGGGCGGGTCTCAACACACTTTGAGCGTGCCCTATATTCGCCAGATATTTACATTCTACACTGAGTTTTTTGCGACTTCCAAACACTCTCGCGAACCGGGTTACTGAATTTTGCGAGAAGCACCGCCCACCTTGAGTACGCCCCGCCCATTTTGGATGTGTCTGCCACAGTTAGTCTGGCGACTCCTTACTAACCTTATTCCTTTTTCCCCATCTTTAAGCTGCTCCGGAAGCGAATTATGAACATTTTTCTGCGGAACCCCAAACTTTCGGCGAGTGCCCCGCCCACTGTGCGGGGCTTCCCATAGGTCAAGTGTGCTTTTTATTTCTTGTCCCATGCCCTACCCATCCCCACCTTGACCCGACCTCTCCAAGTCGTTCTTCAGGTCGAACCGAATTTCCGGACAGACAAACAAACTTACAAACTTACAAACAAACAAACAAACAAACAGACGAAGCGAATTATATATATGGGGTGACAAACAAACAAACAAACAAACAAACGAAGCGAACTATATACAGTCCTCATCATTGCGGACCGGTGGGGCGTGTCAGTGCGGCTGCGTTTGGCGCGGTGCCAAAGTCGTTCTGCACCAGTTGTTGAAGCGGGCAAGTGACATTACTGTATTATATCCTTCGTATTACTCGTTTTCTACCACTTTTTGTCGCATACGCGTTTCAACAAAAAGGCTGAGAACGGCTTCAACAGTGTGCACTCATACTGGCTGACACGCCCCACCGGTCCGCAATGATGAGGACTGTATATGGGGTGATGAATTTCTAGGAAGAAGAGACTTTCCTACCACTTCACAAGCTCCAAAACAGAAACATTCAAACCAAAGCATTTTCGAGTAATCTGAAATTCTTTCAGGGTTTCATTGTAAGAAAATCCCAAGATCTTCCAAAGTTTTCGTGAACATATTCTAGAGCTATTCCTGAAGCCATCATGCTTTCTAGTGTACTCTATAAGAGAGGATACGTCAAGCGCTTCGATGAATACGCCATATTAGACCGAATCTTACTGGATCTCCTTTAGGTCCGATGCTGCCGATTCCCGGATTACCTGGAACTCCAGCTTCTCCAGGTGGGCCACGTGGTCCCTGCAAACAATTGTGAAATGGAAGGAATTTCGTTTTCTCATTGGCAAAATAGAAGAACACTCACAGCTGATCCGACATCTCCTCTATCTCCTTTTTCTCCAGGGTATCCGTCTCTGCCCGGCGGTCCCGGTAATCCTGGCATACCAGGCATACCTCCATCTCCCTTAACATCTTTCATATGCAGCTACAGTGTACAGTGTTCAGAGACAAAGCAAACCTTTTCTCCTGGGGCACCGTCATATCCGATGGCAGGTTCTCCTTTTGCACCGTCCGATCCAGGAGGTCCAGGAAATCCAGGCATTCCAGGTGGTCCTGGCCGTCCGGGGATTCCAGGTGCACCATCCGTTCCATTACAACCATCCCACCCTGGCGCACCAGGTGGACCGGGCTCACCCGGTCGTCCGTTGGCACCATCGTTGCCAGGAAATCCAGGCACACCAATCGGTCCCCGGTCACCTTTCGGACCGCCTGGCCCGGGTGGTCCCTGCGCGCCTTTTTGTCCTTTTGGTCCAGCTAATCCTTCAGGTCCTGGAAAACCTCGAATTCCCTGCGCACCAGGAGGTCCTTGCGGTCCAGGCGCACCCTGAAAAGCATTGCATTAATTCATCCAGTATCCAACCGAAGACGAACTCTCTGCCACACAAGAGTGCTGAAAGAGTTGGCCCTCAATTTCTCCAGCTCTTAATGACACTTCTTCCGAAGAAAACATTCATTTTTTTCAAGATTCAAGCAAAGCTCTGTCGAATGTTTTTTTAAAGGCAGTTGGCACACTAAATCGTTATACAGGTGTAGGATTTGTACAACTGGCTTAACAGAATTCCGTGACCTCGGAAGGCGCTGCGTGAAGCCTTTTCCAAGGAGGGTACCTCTATAACGCCCTATTGAGCAACAACTTTACGTCCCAAACGCCTTCCTTGCCCGCCCGCCCACAAACGGACGACCGTTTCTGACGCTCGTATTCATTCATTTGCTGAGCAAATTATAAAGCAAAGGGATTGGTATGAAGCGGCGGTGATGCTGCATGCATATACGGGTACACATATGCATCCGTACCTTCGGTAGCGGTGATTGGCAAGATGCGTACGGGAAACTCGTCCGAAATCGATTTACAAGTCACTGAGAACGGAGGCTTTTTCTTCGCCGGATTTTGACCGTTTCACTCCGTTCTTTCGCCATTTCCCCACTATACAGCGCCCTACTAGCATTTTAGGCTAAGTAGGAAACCATCGTGCCAACTGCCTTTAAAGATTCAAGCGGAGCTCTGTCGAAAATTCACTCTCGGGGAAGGCGCATTTCCAATGCACAGAAGATAGTGAGACTCTTCAAAACGGCAAAACCCATTCGATTAATTTCATCATAAGAAACTCACTTATAAGTGAATACTTACTGCTTAACTTTACGAAATTTGCTTATATAAAAGACTATTAGTGCTCGCTATGAGGTTGAGGAGGAGCAGCGTAAGCGTATTATCATAGTATTCCACAGTGGATCTTCCCCAAAATGCTATCGGGCAGCAGCTGCTCTCACGATGTAACACGGATCGCTCTATTGACTCATTAAACTCAAAGCAACGGCGATCGAGAATTGGCATTGCTTCAGTAAACTGGTCAGGCCAACTTGAAACACGAAACTGGTATACAAACAGTTTCCAACAGTTCAGTTTTTGATGAGAGAGGGAAATGAACTGTTTTTTTTTTGTGTTTATTTCTACACTGCTCTTGATGTATTTATCCTTTTATTGATGCCTTGCAGTTGATATAATAGCAACCAGCGGTCCCCACCTGCGGCGTTTTCACAACTGGTTGTTTTCTTTCTAAATCGATCTTGGTAGATCATTAGAGCATTAGAGGGGTAGTTTGGCGGCGATAGGGCGGGGGGCATTTCGCACTTCTGCTACTTCCCATCGACCTGTAGACCCATCTAGAGAGCCTTTTCTTGAGTCAACAGGTTCATGGTAGATCCGCGAGTTCTTTAGCTGCACAAGAGTTTACAGGTTTTATCAGACTTGTAATCCGGAACTACTGAAGCAGAGCAAAAGTGCAAAATGCACTCACTTCGCCTAGTTGCGCCGAGCATGACAGCTGGAGGGGGGGGGGTCATACCACTCTCCATAAGCCTTTCCTGACTGCGATATTACAAAGTACATATGACTAGAAGAACACTGCCTAGTCCCATTTTGCAGCAACCTCGCTTATTTAGCGTGTTTTGGCAATACTCGGTAGCATGAGCTCAGTCAGTACGATTGCAGCGAACACTGCACTTACCAACAACTCTTTTTCTTGCCTTGTTGGTGTTTTACCATACAAAAAAAAATCAAAAAAATCATTACTTCACCTACCATAGAACCCTTCTCTCCTACGCAAAAACATCCTCGATTGGAGCAATCTCGACAAGTCGTTTGCTAAAGTCAGAATTTCAGTCAACAGTGGTGTGACGTTTAGAAATATTTAAACCGAAACAAAAAAAAATCGGCGCTCCATAAATGCTCCATAAAGACATGAGAAGAGAAAGAGTAATACGAAGGAAACAGCGATCTCACTGAAGCAATGAAAGGTGTACAAAAGGCCACCTGGCTAATTCCTAATGTGTAGGAAATTGAAAAGTTTGAGGCTGAAGAAAACTGTGTAAACTGAATAATAATAGTTATGCAGAGGAATTGTTAGCCATATAAACGGGGGACCAAACTGGGCATATCCGCTCATTCCACAAAAAGATTACTCAAAAAATTCGGCAGTTTGACGGAACGAAGCACATTCCTTTTTTCAGCATTTGATGTTGCAAGCTACATGTGAACGTGCGTTTGATTATTAAACGGAATGATAATTAGTACCTAGAAAATGTTTTCCAGCAGTTTGAGGCTGCTTTCTCTCAGTATGGAATTCCGGAAAATATAAACTAAAAAAAACTATAACCACTGAACACGGTACACTCACCGAATAAACGTTGACTGCGAGAAAAGCAAAAGCAGTCAGAAGCAGTAGAGGCCTATAAAATGTATTTTTTTGGTGAACTGTGTTGTATAATATAGTGAGGAGCTCTGCCCGAACATTGAATTGATGGGTTGACTGCTAAGTTTTTTCATACGGCAGTAAATAAGTGGCAGCTGTACCCATCTTCACATCGGAGTCTTTTGAATGGGTCGGATAGCCTTACTGTGCTTAAGCGTTGACCGTTGAGCAAGAACAGAACGTTGAGGGTTCCTGTTTAGTAGTTTGGTATAGAAAGTGATGCCAAATCAAAACTTACACACAATTGGCATCCATTGCTCATTGGTGTGACAGCAGGATGTGCCTTTCCGCAGGAGAGAATGCCAACCAAGCTTCCTCCAGAGGGGGCGGAAGTGGAGAAGAGCTCGCGCCAGACACCAAGAGAAATAATGTGTTTCACGAAGAGGATTAGAGCTCATTGGCAAGAAAGCAATAGAGAGTGTGGCATAGAAGCACACGCAGATACGGCTTCGATCAAACTCGCACTGTGTAAAGCAACAGTTAGTAGTTCCCTGTCAGAGTATTCACAAGCTACAAATAACGGAAAGCACTACAGTTATCAAATGTACATTTATTTCTTGTAACGAGGTTGCTACAAGAAACTTTCCATTGGCCTGATAATTCAACTTTCCCGACTCCTCCCCGGAGCTGAAAATGACGTGCGAACTTTTTGAATGGTTTAGCCTGCCTGACAAACGCCATTCCCATCTAGCATTTTCCGAGTGTAGTGTCCCGAACCGCTTCTACAACCCGGAAATAACTGCGATCACTCACCGAAGGTTCCACCGGGCGAAGCTTAGCTCGCACTGTTTAGGTTGTCCGGAAAGTTCTCAGCATTTGTGTTACTGTTTTTTGTACATTCATTGCTGACTAAAAACTCATTCTGCCTTGCGTCTCAGTAGTACCTCCTGAGAGATTTTTTGCGCTATCTGATGGTATAATTGCCGTTTCACCATTGCTTGATAAACCCCCTTTTCCCAAGACTTTTTGAAGCATGTCAAAAGAGCAACTTCGGACGATATTTTTCTTCAACTAAAAATTAGGTCATTCCGCACTCGAGACAGCTCGACAAATTAACCAGGTGTGGGGGCCCAATAGTGTAGGAGAAAGCACCGTGCGACAATGGTTCAACAAATTTCGTTCTGGAGATTTCAGCCTTGAAGATGAACCTCATAGCGGTCGACCTAAAGCAATACCTGACGAGGATTTGAAGGCGTTTGTGGAGGCTGACCCATCCCAAACAGTTCGAGAGATTAAAAGCTAGGCGTTGGCAAATCCACTGTTGCGGATGGTCTGAAACGCATTGGGAAGGTGAAAAAAAAACTCGACAAGTGGGTGCCCCACAATTTGAGTGACCGGCAGAAATTGGCACGTCTCGAGGTTTCTTCTTCACTGCTTTTGCGCAACAGAAACGACCCGTTTGACCGAATTGTCACCTGTGATGAAAAGTGGATCATTTATGATAATGATATCGATGAAAACTTGCGTACGAGACTTATCTGGTACCCGGATCACAAATATCACCATCGTTTTCACACTAGCGCCATTTCGCACCGATAGGCGCCAGTTCAGCGTCATGACCTTTCTCGACAAAATCTATGAAACGTTGTATGCGAAAGTTGTTTGATATCCTGATCACGAATATGGTATTCATTCTCAGCGATGGCCCCAGCGCAGGGCACTCTGATCATCTGCGCCCTGCTAAGGCTGAGCCTGGCGGGGAAGGAATAGCTGTTCCTCCCGGGCTTAGCCCAAACAGAGATAAACAGAGGATGTCAAAAACCAAACCAACAAAACCGGATGTTATATACTTGTTAAGGATGTCAAATAACCCTTATATAGTTTTCATCTACTTCGTCGAGAAAGCTGGTAGCATTCGCACAAAAATTTGTTCATTGGTACCTATTGGCGCCCAATGGCGCCTGCGCCAAAAATGAATGGCACATTCGTGATCAGAGCATCGAATAACCTCTGTACGTAGAGTCTCAGCGGGAACTTTTCCTGTGTTTTTGGAGTAAAGCAGTGCCCATTTAACTTCAGACGGCTACTTCGAGCTACAATCCTTCTCTTTTTGGTATGGTTTAGCTAGAACAGGGCACATCGTTGTTGGGGATATTCCAACAGGGGGGAGGGTCGTATTTGGGG